GATGAGATCTGCCAGACACCATGGGCAGAATAAAACATGCCTCTTCCCCCAGGATTTGTGAGCCAAGGAAACAATCCGGGGGGTTTTTTTATGGCACCTTTCAACTTCAGTCAGACAAGGAGGTCCAAATCTATGCTTTTGCACTTTAGATCCTCTCAGGAGAATCAGCAGTTCCCCGCTCATCTCCACCGACAATTCTGCATCAAAATGGGTTAATTCCTGCTCCGTCCCGCTGGCTCTTCACCCGCTGCCTGTCATCACTCAGCAATACCAGCATGGAAACAATACCTGCACTTAACATTTGCTCAGTGCTGTTTGATCCCTTTTTCCCCTGCTAATTTGAGTTCATAATATATCAATATATATATTAAAAGAAAAAGGACCAGACACATCCACAGCAGCTGGGAGAACAGGCAAACAAAGCCAGCCTTTCTGGAGGAGAAACACATCTCTGTCTTTTATGCAATAAACCAGCAAATTGCTGCCGTACGCTAAAATCAATACCCGGAGAGACGTGCTTATGTTGCAATTGCCAAAGTAAGTGCTTCATTTTAATTAAAGAAAAAAAAACCCAAAACCCCCACAAAAAACCCCAACCCACGCTTTGCGTGATGAACATCATTAGAGAGCCACTATCAACACGAGGAGACGAAGGGGTCCTGAAGCTGGTGTTTTGGGGGGGTCCAATGCCACCGTGTCACCCAGGAAGGGGTGCTGACAGGCTCAGCACCTCCCCACACCCCAGTCCGAGGTGAAGATGTAAGCCCAAAGGGTTAAAAAGGAGGATGGGGCATTTGGGGTCCCTGCCTCACCCAGCTCCCCGCTGGGTGCAAAGCAGGAGCCAGCATCCACAGGGCTGAGCTCAGCCTGTCCTTCCTAAAATGGAGGAAATCTGGATATTGACCAAATCTGATCCTGCCAATCTGTTTCAGGGGCTTTTTCGGAGTCACCTGGAACTAGAGAGACCTCACACCACCCCTTCTCTCCTCCAGCACCTCAGTTTCCCTTCTCAATCCTTTTTCCCCCTGATTATTCAGGAATCCTCTCCAGGGTCAGCAAGAGGCCGCTCCAGCCTGAAACGTGGCCTCTGCTGCAGAGTGAAAACTGTCGAAAAAAAGTCATGCCCTCAAAATACCCTCGCTGCTGCTGGCTGAGAGAACAGGAGCCCTCTTGGCCTGCGGCGTTGCATTTTGAAGGCCAGGGAACTCAGCAGGCATCGCGCCTGCAGCCCAGCCCTGCAGCATTGCACCTCGAAGCTGGCAAGCACATGCCCTGCGCCGAATCCTAAGGGTCTGCTCGCCTGGCAAAGCCCTGGTCCTGCCCTGTAACCCAGCGCGGGAGGAGCTGGTGCTTGGGAAGACAACCAAGTTGAGCTGAATCCCTCGTGACTGCGAGTATCCAGGGTTTTCAGCTCAAGGCAGCCTGGAAGCTGACGTATTAGATGGTAACAATTTGCTTCAGAGATTAAGAAAATTTTTTTCGGAACTTCACCCAGAGCAAAGTTTTGATTTGCCAACAGAAAAATCAACATAAAAACAAGCATATACTCACCAATCAAAGGAATCTAAGGAACTCTGCTCAAGAGGGTGCTGCCTGGGTGTGGGTTAGGAGCAGAGTCAGCACAGCACCTGCATCCGCGCTGGTCTTCGGGGCTGGTATCGCAGCCCACAGCCGGACACCGAGCTCGGCTACTGGAGCTCGTGCGGTTCTCACCACACGCACTGGGCTCAGCTTGCAGGGCCGTGGACCTTTATAAGCTATTGTGAATCCAGGCCTTAGTATTTTCCTTAAAAACACAAGAAAAAGGAAAACACCCCCACGACTGTAAGCGTTACGGTAATTACAAGGAGATTTTAACACGTCTCAATTTGCATTAATTAAATCAACAGGGAAGCTTCAATTGAGTAAATGAGGGGGTTTTTTCTAAGCAGCAGCAAATGCTGCGGCAGGCTGGAGCTGGTAACTCCAGTTTGCTGCATGCATGTGCAGCGGGATGGGGAGGGATCTGCTGGCTGGAAGGGGCTTCCCAGGAGGGAGGGAGCCGCCGGCAGGACGAGCTGGGGGGGGGGAGGATGAGGAGAAGACTCTCAGCTCTAAGATACTACCAGCTCCAAGCCGGGTCTTGTGCTGTCACTGTCGCGTTTCAGCCCCGAGCCGGGAGAGTGGAAAGCTTTGAAGCCGAAGCCGGTGGGAAAGCGGAGGTTGCTGTGCGGAGATAAGCCGTGGGTAAGAGGAATGCGTCCATTCATACCCCAGCCGTGCTGCAAGCACAGCTGTGAGGGGAATATAAATGGGCAGCTCTTTTTTTTTTTTTTTTTTTTTTTTTTTTTATTTTTAAAGCCACTGGTTTGAATATTAAAGTGGATCAGACACATTGAAATGCTTGGCTGGAAGTGAACTCTTTCCAACGCACAACCCTCCAGGGCAGGGGATGGCTGGGTGCAGGTGGGTGCTGACCGCCCCCGAGGTAACGGTGTCGGCTTTTCTTTCCCACGGCCCTGAGAGGCAAAGCCCCTCCGTGGATAAAACATGGGGGATTTACGGATATAACACCCGGCTAGTTCACATTCAAACCTGCACCTCTGCATTGTAAGGACACAGCAACCAAGAGCTGGTGCCGGCACGCTGCTGTGGCAGATCGCATAGCGGGCTAACCCATAACTCCTTCTTTTTGCCAGAAAATCTTCCAGTGTGGCATTGGCAAGCCTGGAGCAGCCCAGGCCACCCCAAAGACCGGAGGGTGGCAGGGAACGATGCTCTGTCCCTGCCCGTGGCCGGCCTGGGAAACGCTGGCTCCGGCAGAGCTGTCCCAGCCCCTTTCTTTCTGACCTCTCAGGCCCAGCAGAGCGATCCAAGCAAGCTGGGACGTGGGGAAGACACCTTCCTTGCGTGCTACGCCGGGATTTGTGCCACATCTTCCATGCACGCTGCCTCCAGCCTCGAGGCTGGAGCATGTAATGGGGATCTGGGAGAAAGTGCTGCTTGCAAGGGGAGCCTGATTGAAGAGATGGCTCCGGGCTGGATTTTAAAGCAGATGCAGCGAGTCAGTGAAGTAGGAAAATGCTCGGAGAGGGCTCCTGCACCACCACATCCCACAGAGAGCATAGAGGGCCCGATGGAGCGGGGGAAAGAGGGTGGCTGCCCTGCCCAAGTGACACCGGGGCTTTTCCGAACTCTCCTCTTTCTTCTGCCGGTGTTTTCCTCCAGAGGCACAAAGACATTTGGAAACAGAAGGTGCAGAAACTGGCTCCGGAGTGGGGAGCAGCCCACAAGTGGGATGCAGGGCCAGACAGAAGGACATTTGCCTGCTTCCCCTCTCCCCGAGCCCCAAGGGCACTGGGGATGGTCATAAGCAGCTTTCTGTGAACCGAAGGGTTAACGAATGTCAGAGTCACCCTCTGAGGTCAGTGGGTTTCTGCCACCCCCTTCCCGAAAGCCTTTACATAAGAGTCTTGCAGAATTTATAGCCTGCCTCAGCTGCGCCCTGCCGGAGCCACGACCAGGCTGCTCCCCAGTAGCTGCCAGCGCAGATCCCCCGCCGTGCTAATTCAGGGAGGAAAATGGGATTTGATTTCTGCACCAGTCACTGTCTCTCACTGTTAAAACGGGACCTGGCAGGCTCTTCCCCTCCGCTCCCTGGCTCACCCACACGATTCATCGCAAACATCGACCTTGAGTGTCCCCCACCCACCCTCAGCATCTCAACGGAGGGGTCCCGAGGCGCCCTGGGTTGTCACACCCCAGCCTGCTCCCAGGGCTAGACACGGTGGTTTAGGTGTAAAACAATATTCAAAAAAAAGGATCTGGAAGCTTTAAAAGCACCGGGGTCTTGCAGTCCTGTTCACATCAGTCCTTTGTGTCACTGGAGAGCGGAGGAGATGTTGAAAGATGTCCTCTCTGCTGCTGCACAGCGCTGCGCCTTCCCCCCGGGGCCATCCCGGAGCATCCTCAGCCCTAGGACTCGCCTGCGATTAAGAGGAGCCGGGGGCCACCAGCGAGGCAAGGAGGTGGCCATCACGGTGACACAAACAACTTGGGCGCCGGAGGACTGAGGTGCTGCTTGTCCATTCCCCTTCCTTCCCCCGGGAGAAGGGCTTTGCCGGTGCCCGTGTCACCCGCTGGCTCTGGGTGAGGAACAGCACGTGCCACCCAAACCCCTCTCTCCTCCAGCCTCTGCACCCCAGGAAACCCTGCCTCCACACGGCACCGGGCGCCGTCGTCGGCAGCAGCTTCTCTCTGCGATGGCAGAAGGTGAAGCAAAGCCAGGGCTGCCGCTGCCGTCCCCCCGCACGTCCCCCAGCAGGAACGCCGTGCCGCTGCCGGCGGGGACAATGCAAAAGCAGATGGGGTGCCAGGAGCCCGGGCGTTCCCGGCAGCTGCCGAGGCGGCGTGTCCAGGATTGCTTGCCCCCTCTCCCGCCGCAGTGCCAGCAAGGACCCTGGGGAGGGTCTCCGGTGGGGTAAATCCGTGCGGCTCCACCAGCTTCATCCCTGCTTCGGGATGGCTGAGGATCGGACGCCCCTGAAAAAGCACCGCTTGCTCTAACGTCTCTGGTCTTACCCAGGAACGTGCTGTACGCCCGAAGCGCCTTATTCCCACCGCCAGCACGCGTCTGTTTGCTCTTCATGCTGCAAAACCAGGCTGGGCTCTCTTCCTTCCATCCCCGGGGCTGATCCCAGTCCCCGTTTCACATTCCTGCGCTGCTGGGGTGCTCAGAGATACTTCCAGCCAGCCCCTCGTTCTTTTTTCCCCCAGATTTTAGGTGTGGACTCAGGATTTTGCCCAGCTTTCCAGGATGCTGAGACGATTCTACGCTTGGAGCCCTGATGCTGCACCTCTTTGCACTGGTTCTTTTGAACTACCCCCACCCCCTGGCGAACGAACCCAGGCCAGGGCCAGCGAGGGGCCGATGCCCACCTACCCCCTGCGTGCAAGAAGGGTGTCACCTCAGGCACAAGTGACAACCAACTCAAGTCTTTGTTCCCAGGGATTTTATTCCCTTAGTCCCCACAGCCCACGCTGCAGGCAGCAGCCACAACAGCAGGGCTGTCCTGCAAAAAGGAGAAGGCTGAGCAGCCTGTGCCCAAACATCGCTGTAGAAGGTCCCTAATTTGGGAAGAAAAAGCCAAGAGAGGAGGCTCAGCAAAGCCCCGCTGCTCTGCCCTCTGCAAGGGATGCCGTGTCCCGTTTTCACCACTGGTGCCATGGGACCTGGCTTCCCTGGCATGCATGGAGGAGCAAAAGGAGAAGAAAGGCACCAAGAGGCCGAAACGTGGAAGGCTGTGGCTCTGCACACACCCTGCTTGTCCCAGGGGGAAAAGTCTCATGCAACAAGGACTGATCCTGACAGCAAAGGGCACCCGGACCCCCCCACCAGCCAAACGATCCCGCTGGCTGGTCCTTCAGCACGGGCAGACCCGGATACCTTCAGCACGGAGCAATCAAAGTCCTGGTGAAGGATGTTTGGGACGGATTTACCGATGCTGATGTCCTCGAAGAGCTGAAGTGCTCACACGCATTCCCCTGATCTCTGATGAACCTGGGAGCAAGAGTTGCCCCTTTCCTGATTAACCCAGCTCCTCCACCCTGCAAGTTTGGGGCCAGATCCTCCCCCTTGATGTCCCCCCACACTCGTCCCTCTAAAATTGCAGCACTCGGACACAACCTTTCCCTCTATTTATTTCTCACTCCCCCCTCAACATTTATGCTCATGGGTTCATCTTTATAGGAAAACTGTTGCCCTTGTTCATTCAATGTGCCGTGAGGCAGCGCATACACAAAAATAAGAGGCTGGGAGGTGATTTAAAACTGCCAAAAGCACCTCCAAGCAGTACATTTCCTAGAGAGCTTTTCTATGACAAATCTTGCCTCAATGTTGTCCTTTTAAAGGCGGCAGAAACGAACAGGGGGGAACCTGGCTCAGCAAGAAAACCTTCCCGCTCCCCAGCAAGCAGCTGTCCGGGGTAATCCTGGAGAGACGAAAATCAGAGCGTGAACAAACCCAGCAGCCGGTCTGGAGCCTCGCCAGCCCGCGGCGCTGGGCTGGGCAGAAAGCCCGCTTCTGCCCGGGGTGCAGGTGACATCAAGCATCCAGGGACGCAGCAAAGCCCAGCCCAGCTCCTGCCGGGGTCGGCTGGAGCCGCACAGAGAAACCCCATGCAATAAGAGCAGATTTTTCTCAGCTTGCAAGGAGAAAGCTCAGCCCCAGCATCATGGCGGTACATGTTTGGGAAGGGCAGGAGGTGAAGACCCCAGGCGTGGGGGGCAGCTCGGCTTGCAGGAGGGATTTCACGCCTCCTGGGTTGCCCTCCCTTAACCCCCCACCCTGGTACCTGCTTGTTTCGAAAATAAAACTCCTTCTGCCCTTGGGGCCCCCGTCAGTAGGGGATCCACTCCTCTCTCCCAGCCTCTGCCATGCAGAAACACGTCACGGGGGCAGAATGGTCCCTGCAGTGGCAGGGGGGCAGGAGCGGCGGCG